GATGAAAATTGATGGTTTTGCGACAGTACTGGCAAGTGTCGCAAACGTGTGGGAGGCTTTGAGCTGCTCGTTACGTAGAGGCTGCCGCCTACACTGACCTGGATATCTGTGGCCGAGGAAGGCTCTGCCGACCTCGTTTCATATCAGTGCTTTAGGACTGCGGCACAGCGCGCGGACCTGTTTTCAGCTGCAGGGCCCTCGTGCTGAAGGCTTTGAACAGCAGCGGTGTGTCCGCGAGGACGGACCGTTAGCAGCCTAATGGACAGGATCGATAACAAGGCCGGGCTGAGGACGGTTATCGTGTCGTGTCTGTGTGACTCTGATCACGCCGCGTGTCCGACTCGCTGCTGCGTGGAACAGGGTCTCTGTATCGTGCACCTCCGTTTACTCCGACATCAGTATTTACTTCTCTGAAGCAAGGAAGTGGAGCTGGCGGAACTCGGAGAACGTGAGACCGGAAGTTGTGTGACTTGACCGCCATAATAAAAGCCCTAAGTAGTTTTGTTTACGCTTATAAATGGCTTCTGGGGTTAAACAGAGGAGTACAACTGGAACAAAACTACAGCCGACTTGTCATTTGTAAAATAACGTTTCGTCCTTTGCCAGTGCCGTGTATCCCGAATGATCTATCCACGTTGGTCGGCTTTATTTTGGAGTGTGCGAGCGGAAGTCGCCCTTGGCTCTGCCTGCGCTGACACTGGTAGGAAGTGGGATGTGGCCAGGATGTATTTATGCTGCTGTCCGAGATGTGAGCGTCAGTAAACCAGCTCTGCCTTTAGGGCCCGTGTTCCCCGGCGCTCACAGCGGGGGTACGCTCACTGACGCTGCCCGTCAGCGTGGTTCGTGTCAGGGGTCGAAGCAGCCGCTGTGCTGTCCCCGCCTGGACGGCACCGTGCCCGGGAACACTTTGTTGAATTTGCGCGTGGCTGTAGCCTGAGCTTTACGTAATGACAGCATGTGAATGACATGTTTGGCTTGTGACTTTCCAGCACTGCACATCCACGGTTTTAAACACATGTCAAGAACTCAGCCTCAGATGATGATGGAGTCCTCTGTCGCGCTCGGCAGGCTGGAGCTGGCCCACAGCTCCTCCGCGGGTGGGGTGACCTCTCGGCTCCCCGGAGGCGCACCCCCTAAAGAAAAGCCCGGCCAGCCACCCTCAGGGCTCCAGAGCCAGGCTCACCTGAACGGCTGCGTCCCGCTGTCACACCAGGTGGCGGGTCACAAGTATGGAGTGGACAAAGTGGGTAAGTCAGCTGCGGACACGACTCGGATCACCCTGCACTTACAGTTCCTGTCACACCGCTGTGCTCGCCTTCGTGTGACTTCATGTTAGCTGGTTATTCACACGGAGATCTGACTTAACGCACCTTTACATGAAATACCAAAATTCAGAAAGTTGTCCATCGTCCCGCTTGCTGCAGTGTAGGGGTGAGCGTTATACACTCAAAATTATAGCACAATATTTCAGGAAAACACATTTTCTGTATGTGTGACACAATGACTGGAGAACACTTTGATGATGGCTGCAGGCAGAAGCATTTATAAGCATTTATCCTCCTTTTCCAGTGACTTACTGTCACCAATGACACATTTCCTAATTTGAAGTATGAATCAAGTTCCCAGCAGGGTCGTAGTGCAACAGTAGTGACACAGCGTGAGTCAACTGTAGACACAAGTGTAGCCTGAGCAGCTTTGTTGTTTTTAGTTGTGCAACTACTGCTGAGCACCTCAGCTTGAGCTCCGACTCTCAGAGACCTGGACTCGTCTTAGTGTTGCCAACACATGTGTTTACTTTACCAGTGTTATCACGGTGAGAAAGATGTGTCCCTGTAATACTGGAGACACTATTATATGACACAGTTACAGTCAGACAGAAATGGATGGATTTTGATTAGTTCCACAAAGGCTGCCAGCTTCACATGAATCAATATGACTGTTGATAGTATTATTACAAATCTATCCCACAGAGTAATTGTAAAGGTGTCCCACAGCCTGTTTCACAGTAATGGTTGTGCAGCGGTCTTTGATCACGTAGCTCACAGGCT